CCCTGCTTCAGGACACACGCGTGGCGTCGTCGGTAGCGACGGTTGAACCGCCCTGACGTATTCCTCAGCAGCGTACACCCTAATTCACATATGACAATTGGAATATCGCAAGTGATGACGCACGGCACAGCCCAAAGATGTGGGATCAGAAGTGGAACTGACTTGCGATGCATCTGCTGCGTGCCATCTTTCTGCAGCCAGCGTGATCCGGTGAAAAGATGAAGCCAGGACGACTAGAAATGGTCGTGAGCACGGCGACTGACAAAACTGAATGGTCTGTCTACGCATGCCACACACACGATCTGGTTCCACTGCAAACAGGTTCAGGCTACAATATGTGGGCTCGCACGCCAGATAGATGAGAGGTGAAATGGGAGCCACGTTAATAAAAGCAATTTGTAGGCCTATACTCGCTCCAACAGAAGACCCAGTTATCCTATAAACCGGCTCCCCGATGCCACAGCCTTTAACCTGTCGTGATAAAATTCAGCGCGTCTTATTTACTGCGCTGAAGTGACCCTATTTATTAGCTCATAACATTCCGCGAACTTATAACTGCGTGCATCCGCCCAGGTGGCACCAGAACCACTAGCGCGCGTTCTACTCGATCGATCGTCCTGTATAGCACATCGCTCAAATTGAGCTAGCGGCTTTTGGTTGAAACTCCCATGGTAGCCGGTGAAATCGATGTCTAGTTCAGATCTTTGGGCTAAGAGTCACTATCCCCTATGCAAGAGAACTTGCAACCCTAACGATGTGCCTAATAGGTAAAGAAGAACTAAGTCAGAGCGTTGTCTCCTGGAAATCCACCTTGTTGTTAGCCTTCGAAAGAGGGAAGTAGGAAGCAGATTGCCTGGCCAACAGCGAGTCGGTCTTCTTCATTTAATGGCATAATCTGCGTACTACGCCAAAAAGAACTGTTGAAAAATGTAGTCCCCGCGTTGACTGCGTAATCTACCAACTATAAAATATTCATTTTGGCTTGTTCTTTTTTACCAGAGTGTTTAATTCTTCGCGTTGGAAACCCCCTTAGCTTCAAAATAGACGTGCAGTCTCCCGAAAATTCAATATTTGACATGAAATTGATTATCCCGTACTATCGAATAATATACCAAAAGAAGTGTAAAGGAACATATTAGCATCCATTTCCGACGTCAATAAAAAACACGCCAAAGCGCCAGGTACGATAGGCGTCAGTGTCGCGGTCAAACTCCACCAACATTCGCCGTCAGTTAGCGTGCCACTAGTGTCAATATGTATTTAAGGTAGATAATCGTCTTGCTGGTCACCGGAATAGAAAAACGTTTTATCATTGTTTTTGACGATGTTCTTTAGGGTCATCTCACGCTATCCAGATCAGCCCGATCCTGCATTGTTCACTGGTATTTTATGTCAGTTTGAAGAGGCGACTCGGCCGCCATACAAGGTAGCAGCCAATCTTTTCCATTTAATAGGCGTTTTGATAGATTTCGAACGATACATTTTGACTCAACTGTGAGAAACTCTACGACCTCAGTGGGATTGAAAACCACGACGGCAAGACGAAGGCCTGAATATAGCCAACGCGCTAGCCACCTGAGCTACGAAGCCCCAGCAGGGGGCCGTGAGTTTAATCGCACTTTGGTCTAAAGAAATTTCTATTCAAACTCATCAAACACCAAACCGCACGCGTATGCACATGTGCATTTGACCATAAAGGTTTGTAAGCGTCTGCTACGCCATGATCAGCAAACCATGGCCCTCGCAGCCTGGTGTGCGCTGGTAGTTTTCTGACACCTGGTTCCCTGCCGGTAGATACGCTTGCGCTCCCGCGGGGTATGCAGACCGTGAGCATGGCTGTCTAGTCGTCCTCGACATTCTGACGCGTTATGATGGTCTTGTTGGTTAGTCAGAATTCTGGCCAAGTGTCTGTTTTGGACCAAGGGGTGTGGTGGTCCACCTAGGTGCGGGTCCCACCGTGTCGGCCATCTGCGCTCTCCATCCCATCCGATCATCTTGACTACGTCTTGATGCCGGGCTCAGACGTGGAGGAGGAGAGAGTGTGGCAGATGCTGTGCAAGCCAACTACCACTAGAAACTAGTTCGCGCGGTCAGGCTGTCGTATTTGATCAAAACTGGCGACATTTTTAACTTTTGTTTAATGGGTTTGTCTTAACTTGTTAACACTTGACGGCTTGCCAGCGACAGTATAATTGTGCAGTTTGTTGTTAACCAGCAGCAAAGCTGATCAGTGGTTAACGTTTTGGTAGGAGATGTTTTCAGGTCCAATTGGTGTTACCCCTATCCACTTTGATTGAAAAAAATGTGCCGAATCTTCATCTCATGAGAGATTAGACCACTTCCACCGGAATGTGATGGGAATCGTAGCAATATGAGTGGTGCGGACTACTGCTTAGACCTTTAATCATATTTTTAAAGTGACTAGACTACAAAATACCTGCACAACTGTTTTTAAAGTGTTATTTATTTCCTCCGCCCCTAGTTATTTTCATACGAAAACACCTTCTGGAATTAATTTGAGAACATGGCCTTACCCGCAAAAGTCCCCAATATTAGTTCCCAGACCGAGCAGCGTATCGTTAAAGTATCCCGGTAAAAATTGAGACGTTCAAGCCTTGAAAGAAATAGGATGTTAATCTGGCTTTTCACACTACTTGTCAAGCTTGGCAGTGGAAATACGAACTAAATATCTTTTATGGGGACCATCTGTTCTTCTACCGTTAGTCCTTCACAGTTGCTAAGGTGACATTGGATGGTTTTGCAGATGCATTGAGGGTCCGATCTTTAGTAATTTTATTTGTTATTGGACTTTAGAGCCTACACTCCCGTTTCTACTCCTTTAGAAGAAACTGATGGTCGTTTTCTACTTTATACAAAACAGTTAGTGAACACACAATGTTTCTGCTTCTGCATGCGCGTGCACCCGAGTAACTAATCTTTTGTAGGTCACCTCACCGCAATTAACCGGTTAGTTTAGGAAGCCAGTACGAAAACGGATCTTTGGGTTAAATGTGCGCACGTCAGGTTGTTGCCTCAAGCCGGCGTCCGAATAAAAAGGAATATGGTTGTGAGTTCAGTTGATTAGCGGGAAAATTTGTTTTTGATGGTAGATGAAAGACCTTGTCTTACAGTTCCGGTTAGAACGCGCATTTGTTTTTTGAAATTTTGAAAATTTCCCACCGAAGACGAACTGATCCCCTTGTATCTCTTTTACGTTTATGCAAATTTATGTTGAGTGGCTGCCTCTGAGTTGGATTACGGAGAGTCTAATCCTGGATGTACAAAGGTCTAATTAAGTCATTCATAAATCATTTCTTCCCAGAAGTTTTGTTCTTTTTTGCATTTTGTTTTAGTCATAAATGACCTTTGCCATAAAGTGCTGAAGATGCTGGGTTTTCTGTGACGTTCTACACTTATTCATCCTATCGGTAGTTAGACACTTTATCGTTCCAGATCAAAAATAGTTGCTAAGTACGGTTAATAATTGTTGTCTTATCGACACCAGTCAAGTAATTTGGAGGTCGCAATGTGATGTTCTAACAGAATACGGATTAGCAGAGGGTATACAGTGAGTGACCAATCTCATGAAGTATGGACAAAAATTCTAAAATGCGTTTTTGATTAAGGAGGATTACTTAGGTAGGTTGTACGATTTATCATTTGACAGTAAAATCCTATGATATACCGGACTTTTAAGGATGTCGGCTTTAAAATGCACTTCTTTTTGGCCTCCTGCAAAAACCGAACTCAGAAAAAGGTGACTATCAAAGCAACATGCATTTTTCACACTGAATTCTGATTATCTTATACATCGAAATATATTTTATGGAAAATATGCACAAAAATACGCCTCCTTTTACTCGTTTGATTGAAAATTACGTTGTCTGCACACATTTTTATCGAAAATGAGCGTATAGAGGTTTTGAGAAAGTTTTCCGATTTCAGAATAATTTTGAGCTTGATCCGCCTTTGCATTAGTGTTTAGCGATTTCCGTTCAAAAGATCCACGCTTTCCGCGTAAGGACAATCATATATTCATCCATGCTTTTAATAAGATACCATGCATAGTTAATAAAATTCCGCAGTGGATGTGGATTATGCTGTATGTTTTATGAAATGTATAAATAAACGTACAGGTACGATGCTGCATGAATGGACGTTGCACGGTCTTCAAAAATCCCATAATGAGAAACTTATTTAAAACCCAAAGATATCCTTTCTTCGAGTACAAAATGTGCAGACAATGTAATTTTCAACCAAACGTGCAAAAAAGGCATATTTTGTGCATATTTTCCATAAAATATATTTGGATGTATAAAATCACCGAAAATCAGTGTGAGAAACGCATGCTACTTTGGTAGTCACTTTTTATCTAGTTCGGTTTCTACAGGAGGTCAAAAAGAAATGCATTTAAAAGCCGACATCCCGGCGAGTCCGAAATAAAATAGGATTATGCCGCATGATAAGCAATATTACAACCCCACCCAAGTGATCCTACCTAATTGAAAACGCATTCAAGAATTTCGTCCCTTTCCCATTTCATGAGATCGGTCACTCACTGTATATTGTGGAAGGTACTCCAAAGAAATCGAAGTCGGCATACAAACGAACACTTACATTAACAAAAAGGACGATACGACGCAAAAGTTTTAAGACCGTCAAGTGTCCATTCACACAGCATCGCATGAGCACTTTTACTAATTCCACCTATTAAGCATATATTCTAGTCCACATACACTGCACAATTCCATAAGTTCTGTATATCCGCAAAGCACAAGTTGGAATCGCCACGGTCACTACCTCAATAACAGATTTACAAGGCAGTAATCCTGCCAACGCTACCGCATGGAGCAAAGAACTGGACGGTGTACAGGAGGCAGGTGCAGAGACTCAATCATTTCCACCTCAGTTGTCTTCGACGGATAGTGAAGCTCAGATGACAGGACAGGCTCCCGGACACAAGCGTACTGGAACGGACGGGAATCCTCCGCATCTATGCCATGCTGAGACAGCTGCGACTGCGCTGTAGCGGCCACCTTGTGCAGATGGACGACAAGCGGCTACCTAAACGACTCTTCCACGAAGATGTCGCCAGGGGTTCCCGACAAGTCCGTCGCTCCAAGGACACCCTGAAAACTTCCCTGAAGCGTCTGCAGGTCAACCCGGCCAACTGGAATGACCTCGACCGACCGACCGGGAGGAAGACAGCAAAGACAAACGCAGCGATCTACGAAGCCAGCCGCATCAGTGCCGCGAAGATAATCGCACAACTCGCAAATCCCAACTGTGCCCACCTCGCATCGCCAACGCTCAACCACCCCCTACCTGTCCCTGCTGCCAGCTGACGTTCCGGACACCAACATATTTTGAAGGACATCTTCGTGCCAACTGCAGCACTCGGACTACACCAGC